AAAAAAAAAAGGCAATTATAACTACATTTAAGCATGAATATATGCAGGGAAAAGCATCAGAAAAGACACATGAGGAGTAGAAAACAATGAAGAATAGTGCTAAGGTAGCCCTTAGCATTAACTTGAAAAATTAAGAGAGAGTGGTTTAGTGGACAAAGATGAGAAGTACCGGGGAGTATAAAACAATGAGCTGACATGATTTAGAATCAGACAATCAATTTTAGGGAGTTAAGGAAGTAAATAGCCTATAAATGGCAAGCATTACTATTTTATCTGTCAGTTCCATGGAGTCTAGAAGTTACCCAACTCATTTATATCCCAATCTTCTCTCACACTTGCATGAGTATAATTAGCCAAGTATAGGAGACCTTCCAATGAAGCACTGTTTATTTATACTTGTTCATATTTGTGACTGTGATTTTCTACATTGCTTCATTTTTTGTTCATAAAGTGAAGACGGTAATAGATATTCTTGGCTAGATGAGGGGGAGTAAGAAAGAATGTTGTGGAAAGTCCTTTATAAAGTTTTTCAAGGTGTGTGCTATAGCTAGTGTTTTGAATGCCAGAAGTGTTAGAAGACAAAAAGTTGATGCAAATAATAAAAAAAAGGCAATGAAAGAAATTGCTCTCTTACTCCATGAGTTTGCTTAAAAAATGCCATAAATGTTGAAAATGATACTATTTGTGGTTTCTTATATGGTTGGATAATTTTAAAACAGGAATAAGAACAAAGAGGGAAGGAATTACAGTGGAATATGGTGGTGTTGAACTAGTGTTGGGAGCACTATGGCAGTGACACCTGATTGGGGGATCCTGATGCTACCTCAGTTAGAAAAGTAAATAACTAAATTTTTAAAATACCATTTAAAGTACTAAAGATAAAAAAGGAATGAATCTCTTTTACTTGGCAACAGTAAAATTTAAGAAATCCCGGTATGTGTGTAAAGGCAAGAAGAATGAATATTTTCTCTGAATGAAACAGAGTATTTTGGGAATTCTGAATTTGTACTTCTGCTGGGCAAAGAAGCCAGAGGAAAAGTAATGTGCAGATGTGGATGGCATTTTGTGTTCTCTTTACTGATGAATGGTGGAGGCAGGATGTACATGATCTCACATTGCAACCTGGATTTGAAGTGAAAAAGGTGATTCTAAGGTGTGAAAATTTGAGAGGTCTTGCTAACTTGCCCTGCAGTCCCCGATCTTTGTTAAGCCTTTTATTATCATTACAGCTACCACCAATGATGTGTTCAAACCAAGAAATCAAGTACTGAAAATAAGTACTTCTGGAAATGGGAAATAGACAAGATGGTAATAAAATTCTTGGCAGGTTAATATGTTCCAGCCAAATGCCTGAACATGTTTTATTGTGTTTGTGCTTAATCACATTAGTTTTTTCATTGAAAGTAATTATATGCCTGTCCTTGGAAGGTGCTACTGCACCCTTTCTTTTAGCCTGAGAGCAAAATATCTCAATAAGCCTGTGTTTCTGGTAGATAAAACATTGGTGGTTGATGAAACTGAGGGAGGAAATAGGAAACAGGAACCAAAAATAGCCAATGAGCCTGGGCTTTTCTAGATGCTCTAATGGGTTACTTCAGTTGGTAATTGCAGTGCTCCTTAAACTTTAAAGAACAGGAATTCCCTAGGGGGTCATATAACAAGCACTTTATGATTCATAAAGTGGGGTGTGACCTGGGTTTGTGTCTGTCCATCAAATTCTCAGATGATTATGACGTTGGCCTGAGAACCACTTTTGGAGTAATAAGGTAGAGAGTTTAGCTGGATCTTTTGCAGAAAGTGATATTTCAAGTTTTTCAATAAAGATAATTTGCCAAAAGTGTACTTAATTTTAATTTAATTTCATTGTTAAACTTCATTAAATGTAAGTTGCTACCTGCTTGAAACACATCTCTTCGTTTTCTTCCTATTTGCTCTAACAGAGATGAAGAGATCAATCACAGGACAGCAGTGTTGACCATTTCTCCTTTCTTTGCAGATTATTCATCAGCTGTTCAAAAATTCTCCCAGACGTTGCAGTCCTTTCAATTTGATTTCATTGGAGACACTCTGACTGATGACGAGATTAACATTGGTAAGCCTCCAAACTACATGTGACCAGGTGCCCGTCGAGACATGTCTGAAACCATGTAGCCTCTTTGGATTGTGGCTAAAGAGAATTCGGGCATTTTCATACCCTGGTGTCCAGGGCCCAACCCCTGGAAGAATGCTTAAGAAGAATACAGACACCTTCCCTGCCAGTCCATTTCCTTCTTAAATTAAACAGTCAAAAGATCTATCTTCTATCCACACTGAAATCTTTTGACTTAGTGTGCAGGGTTTTTTTCTTTACAGAAACTAATATGTTAAAAAAAAATATATATATATATATATAGGTATTTTTGTAAAAGATAAATTCAAGAGTGATTGTCTTTATTTTTAAGAATGATCCAGTGTATGTTTCCTCTAAAGAACAAACTCCATTAGAATGTTTGAAATCAGCCTTTACAAATGTACAACTTTCTAGGCAGCCAGAGATTTGAAATCTCCTTTGGATTTAACACCTTGCTTTATGAATTATGTGATCTTGATAAGATATTTCTTTTTTCTGAGCTTTGGTCTTCTTCTCCATAAAATGTGGCTAATATTTGTCTTTCAAAGATGCTACAGAGAGGGAGATTAGGCAGTGAAAAATAAAAAGAACTTTTCATTGTATTAGTTGTTATGGAGTTAAAGTAACACCTGCAAACTGTGGGACATTGGGAAATGACTGAAAAGCACTTACTTTATGGGAACATTAAATATCAGAACTGTTGTAAATGATCTGTTTCTGAAATAAATTAGAAGACAATTATATTTATGCGCTCCATAACTGAAATATGTAAATATAGTGTTATTAACACATGTTCATTGTGTATATATGAATGATATATAAAAGTATAAGGCTATCTTTGGTAAGCTACCTCTGCATAGAAACAATATATTAATCATTCTGGTCTATTTTTAAATTTTTATATAATTATATATATATCACTGTTCATTTTTATTTTTTTAGTTTTAGATTCTCTTTTCTTTAATTTTTTATAACAGTTTATTTTTACATTATTTTGTACATTTTTTTTCCATCTCAATTGTAATCCCCGCGGGTTTCCCATCACCAAGTCACCCGTGTGCCATCACCATAATCCCGTGTACTTCCCTCCCC